GATTAAAAAGAACAGTAGAAAACGTGAAATCACGAACCCTGTAATTTGGGTGCTGTCTGAGTACACGGAAGGTATGCATATCTTTTTTTCCAATATTGCAGTTTTTTAATGAGTTGTTAAAAATCCGAAGACCTGAGGTGCGTTACACGCTAGTTTAATTTAAAGATTTCGCAGCGCAGTAAAAATTTTTCCTATTAGTCCAGTTCTTCTCAATTTTGTTTATTTGTATTAAGAAAATGTGCCAATATTGAATTTTTCACGAACTTCAAAGAGCTTTGAAGCCATCTTTTTTGAAATTCGAAAATTGATGTTTTTTCAAAAAAAAAACAAAGCAATTTTTTTTCAGTCCCTCGGTGTTCATTGTGTCTTTTCCAACTGTCTCTTTGCAATATATAAATAGAAGCAGAAATTAATCAACCTTTCCGTATATATAAATTGTATGACCACCATTTTTTGATGGCGACAAAAAAAAGTAAATTTTTGTTTTGTTTTTTTTTTTCAACTGCAAACCGAATTTTGTACTCAAACAAACACTTTCCAACAAATTTTTTTGCATGCAAAATTTAATTTTTTTTTGCGTGCATACTGTAGTCCTGAATACACAAAAATTGGATTTTTTCCGTTTCTCTGGATAACTTTCTTAAAAAACGCTAAAAGGCACCATTGGAGCGAATATGTACTAATCTTAAGGGGGTAGCGCGCGACGAAGAAACACAATCCCTTTCCTGCTGGTTGGCTAGGTTTTATGTTTAGTAGCTTGCAATGCTACGATTCCTTTGTATCGCAAGTGATGCGAAGCTCTGCTTTGCCTCCGTTGAATTAATTTTTTTTTTGATGGTCATGATGTTTTTTGTATTGATAATTTTTCATATTTCTGAAATGCTTGTTTTGTTTTAGACAGTTTTATGAAATTTATTCAATCATCACCAGGTATGTTTTCCGGTGTCATCAGGTAAATTTTTTTGCATCAAATAATAATGTGCTTTGCTTAGGAACCAAATTTTTGCTCTGAACGGCGGAAAAAAGATTTTTACTACCAACGTCTTTGAGGTCGTTCAGAGCACTTTTTGGATGCCCACGAGAAAATTGAATTGATTTGATTATTCAGTTTCTATGTCGCGTCAAATATGGTTCTTTGTTAATCATATGTAGCGTCATATGTGTTTCCATGGTATCTTTTCTAGGGTTGATTTTTTACAGGGATAAAAAACAACAGGTGATTTTACGGCACTAATGAAAATTCTCGGAATTAAATGCAAATGAAATGAGAGATGGGAAAGAGTATGGGATGATGAGTGCCCTGGGAACACTGGTGGGGGGACTTAACACAACAGGATCGCATTCCTCCGCCACGCCCTACGCATTCATCACTCCCTACCCCCACCACCATCACCACAGTCTCTTCGGCGGCACCACTGTAGTCCCCACCCAGAACCCCACACGGGGGCAACAGCAGCACTAGCCCCACACACCCTCACAGACTACTACATAAACTACGCCACCATGTACAGCGACCCCTTCGGATCACATTATCACTCTTCGCTTACAATAGCTCAATTAAAAACGTCAAAATTTAGTTTTCTTTCGGTCAACATAAATTTTTTGAGTATTTTAATTTGAGTTTTCTAAAAATTGAGATTTTTTGTGAAAATCACCCTTCACACGCCATATGAAGTACAAAAGGATAGATTTCACTCCTCGTAACAAATTAATTACGGCAAAAAGCTTCGTTTAATCAATTTGGAACGATTTCTAATAGCGCTAATAGCGCGAAATATATCGTTCGCCAGGTTGGCCAAAATGGCAATCTTTAAACCCCATAATTTTATGAAAAATGATCACAGGTGAAATATCTTTTCAAATTTCAGCTCAATACAACAATACTTTTCAATGATATTAAAGAACTCTGTCAAAAATGGCTAGTTAAAAAGTCTAAACATGTCTGAAGAAAAAACCCACCCTGAGCACAAATATTTCATTGCTTTGGTTACGAAAGTCGGAGCAATGAAAAATTTTGACAGATTTTTTTCTTTCCATTTGAAAGGTCTCAAAATACTGAGTTCCTTTGCTATCAATTAAAAGCTTATTTTTTCTTTTTAACCTTACGACCAGCGAAGATTTGGCTCTCAGGTGTCAGACTTCTTTCCCATGTATAACTTTGTTCACAGAATGGTCAACTTGGAAGAAATGTTAAACATACTAAAGTACCACTCAAGGCTTGGTACCGCTTTCGAGTTTTGTTTCGATGTTTATTTAGCACTCATATGTCTTCTTAGATCAGTTTTCTTTAAATTAACTTTAATTCAGACGAAACCAAGACAAATATATAAAAATTTTTGAAAATCTTGCCATAGTTACTCTTGTGATAAACAAGGGTACTGCAATTGTCTTATAGACTTTTTTCTCGTGAAATTTTTTCCTAAGATTCATCTGCTGGACCTATTTATCTATTGGGCCTGTTGCAACAGTTATTTTTTGTGCATGTTAACTGTTTAAACGAAATTTTGATCGAAGTTTGCATTTTGTGTTGGTTATACTTTTGATCGCTTGCTAAGTGATTAGTAACTTCAAATATAAAAATTTGCAGGTGGGGGGAAAAGGAAAAAGAGCCGTCATTTATTGTTCCGAGTACGCAAGCGGCGTTCGCAATCTGTATTGCCAGGGAGATTCTCTGTTTTAAAAAGCTGTCTGATTCTTAAATAGAAAACGACCAGGTCCATTGCTTTCCAATGCTGTGAAACTTGTTTCTAAATGGCAACGCAAGCAAATGACTCTCCTCGAAACTATGTTTATAAATTAATAAGATAATCAAGTTTTCAATATGCCTTTGTAAACTCCCTTTTTCTGGATTCTAACGTTGCATTTGCAATCACATCTCATTTTGTTGGATTTGAATACTGCTTACGCTTATAAAAAAACAATAAAAACCAACGCTTTTTTTCCTTCCCCCCACCTCACACGAGCTTCAATATGTTAGTGTAACGAGTGGTATTACGAGGTTGAGTATGAAGAACAAATATGTCTGTTGTGGCCTTTTTTGTCTGTATGTGAATTTTCATAACAATCGGACAATGTGATCCACAAATTTGCATGTAAAAAGAAAAAAGAGCCAAAACCAAAAAACACTGCTCTTTTTAATCAACTCTTTTCAGACTCTTTTCCTCTTGCCCGCCTTTCAATTTCAATTTTAAAACCTACCTTGAAATTGTTATAATTCAATAAATTTTGGCATGGTGAACAATCTGTAGCAAGACTGCTCGTATCAGGGCGAAGCCTTGAAATTTCTGACTGACTTTTACGGTCTATCGAGCAATAATAACATGGAAAAAATAAGTGTAATGAATAAAACGAGATTTTTTTAAATTGAGATTTTTTGTGTAAATCATCCCCCCAAACGCCATAAGTGAAAAGTGATAGATTTTGCTCTTAATAACAAATAAATAATGGCAAATATGCTTCCTACAACCAATTATGAGTGATTTTTAGGACGGAATAAATCTCCGCTTACGCGTTAATAGCGCGATTTATATCGCACGTAAATTTTCCCAAATTGGCCAAAATATCAATTTTTAGACCCCCATAACTCTAGAAAAAAGATCACAGATAAATTATTTTTTCGAATTCAGGCTCAGAACAACAACATTTTTGATTGATATAAAAAACGGTTCGATTAAAAAAAACGAAAATTGTCTGAAGAAAAAAACACCTGCAGCACAAACATTCCGTTACTTTCCTTACAAAAATCGGTTTAATAAAATTTTGACAACAAGCAATGAAAAGTTGCCTGGTGAACAAAATTCTCTATTTGAACGTGTTGTTGTTCTGACTTTTGAAGAAAACGGAATATTTATGCTCGGCGTGGTTTTTGTTCAGTCAATTTTTGCTCGTGGAAATTATAGTTTTCAACGAAAATTTCTTACAGCACTTATAAAATATCGACTTTCTGAGTTCAATTTTAAAAAGATAATTTACCTCCGATTAGTTTTTGTGAAGATTCATCTGCTGGACCTATTTATCTATTGGGCCTGTTGCAACAGACATTTTTTGTGCATGTTAACATTTTAAACAAAATTTTGATCGAAGTTTGCATTTTGTGTTGGTTATACTTTTGATCGCTTGAAAAAATTTTCGTTGGATTTTTTCTTGTATTTTTTTTGCAGAATCTGTTTTTTAGTTTGCGACGATTTCGTTGTTTTGCAAGTGATGTGAAGCTCTGCTTTGCCTCTGTTGAATTGTTTTTGTTGATGGTAATTATTTTTATTTATGTTTTGATAATCTTTCATATTTCTGAAATGCTTGTTTTGTTTTAGACAGTTTTATGAAAATTATTCAACCATCACCAGGTATGTTTTCCGGTGTCATCAGGTAAAACTTTTTAAATCAGATAATAATGTGCTTTGCTTGGGAACCAAATTTTTGCTCTGAATGGCGGAAAAAAGATTTTTACTACCAACGTCTTTGAGGTCGTTCAGAGCACTTTTTGGATGCCCACGAGAATATTGAATTTATTTGATTATTCAGTTTCTATGTCGCGCCAAATATGGTTCTTTGTTAATCATATGTAGCGCCATATATGTTTCCATGGTATCCATACGTCGCGCCATGCATGGTACCATAGTAACCATACGTCGCGCCATGCATGATACCATAGTACCCATACATTGCAAGCTTCCATGGTGACATATAATTTATCAACCGCCCTAGTAAAAGTATCAATATTGTCCAATTTGAAGTCCCCCATACTTTAAAAAAAGTGGAATCATACGTCGCGTCATGCATGGAAAATGTGTTATTTTAACATAAAAATACGTCGGCAATTTTCCATGGCTTCCATGGAACCATGCATGGTGCGACGCATGGTTGCACATTTTGGTCAACCCGGGGTAGCTTAGATGAATTACAGTCGGTCCTTGTAGAAGTTTTTGTAAGCTTTGGAGTAATTTTTGTCCAAAAAGGTCATTGAATTGGAAATATAGAAGAATAAAAACTTGAGTTTGCGTCAATTTTGTGCTAGTATAATTTTTTGTAATTGTACTTTGGATCTCAAAAAAGAGATGGTACACCTGGCGACGTCTATTGTTTTCGTATATCTTTACGCTCTGAGTCTCAATGCAGGTTAGTTCTGAACGAAGCTTCAAGTTAGCATTATTGCCCATTACACAGGCGCATTGTATCTAGAAATACCCCGCATCTAGGGCCCGGTACAAAGAATTTGCAAATTTTTTCAATCAAAAAGCATGGAGCTAGCCAGATCGCAAAAGCTGAAAAAAACCAGTATACAACAATCAGTTTTGGAGGTGTTCTCTCTGTGGAAACATGTTAGCAAGTAGTTTGAACTCAAAGTCTAAACTTGTTTATTTGGGAAAGTTACTTGTTCCGGCGTCAAAAAAGGGTTAATTGAAAAAACCTATTGATAATATACTTGAGGACATTGAACACGCAATAGCAAAAATTTTGATGAACTAAAAAAATCAATGTGAATTTCTCGACAATTTGCAAAATTTATATGCTTGCTCTGATAGATGGAAACATAAGTTAAACTTATCAGTTTAACTTATCAAATAACGACTTGACAGAACTTAAACTTTAAGAAAGTATGGACAAAACTAACGTAGAAAATGGCCTACATTTTAATCGATTCATTTCATGGAGTTAACTTTAAAATCGATATTAGTTCACAGTTCTGGAGGATCCTTTCCTTGGTTAGATCAATAAACTCAATCAAACAGAAGAATACAGTAAGCCTACCTTTTCATTCGGATCAAAACTGAGTTTTCTTGGTTGAATTCAAGCATATATATTTTTTCGAGCTTATAAGGAAACTCAATTTTTTAATTAACTCAAAGGTAAATTAGGAGCTAAAATGCGTTAATTTTGCTTCAAATTTTCTTCAAACGAGTTAGTTTTCAATTTTTCAGAATTTTTCAGCCAATTTTTAGAATTTTTCAGCCAATTTTCTTCCAGGAAAAACGTTGCGCAAATCTTTTTGTTGGGTTTTCAATGTCGCCCCGTAAAATTGAAAACATTAATAAAATAATTTTGCCTTGATGATAAGAAAAGGCTATTAAAAGAACGGTTCCTGCATTTTTCTGATATAATCACCTGCGATGTGTCCAGGTTTCTATGTTCCAGCAGCAATATCACTTCTGAAACAAACGATATGTTGTTTTTTTAATGTTTTAAAAATAAACTTTTTCAATTTGTTTTTTCACTATCTACTGCCAAATTGTTTCATCTAGCTTGCCCGTTGAAATCAAGGATTTGCAACTTCTATGCCCTGTGACTCTACTTCAAAAAATTAGATAAAGTAAAATATCTCAAGGAGGTTTCAATTTTTTTGAGATCTACCGGCAGGTCTACACAAGCCTAACAAACATATTTTTGGCTTCAGTAGTGGTACCAAGTGGAAATTGAAGATACTAAGAGTAGCATGGAGTAAAAAATATAGCTTTGATTTAAACAACTGTGACTCGAGCACACGCAAACAAAAGAAACGAACTAATCGTAGACAGGCTGGATGTTCTTTGATAGATCGACTGAAATCAGCAGACACCAGAAAGTTTTGAAAGCTAAAAAGTTTAAGAAATGAGCCGTGCTCAAATTTTGAGGTATTTTGACCCGAGTCGAGAATTTTTCAATCCGAAAAAACCTAGAAATTTTTTTTTTTGCTAACTCAACATATGATTTTTTGGATAATTTTGAGTCGAGTGCCAGCTTAGACGCATTTTTTCGTCTTCCTTTTTCTACAACTTTGTTTTACTCAAAAAGCTATTTCATAATTGCGATTGATCTGCGAGAGTTTTCCAACTTTTTCACGTTTTTGCGATAAATCTTGCGTAAAAACTAGTTTCTTGTTGAATTCTTTTTCAGTTACCTGCACGAAAGAAAAAAAGAATGCGTTGCAATCAAGTTGGCAAAATGTGATGGCAAAATAAAAAGATTTTACTGACGAAAACTTGATGAAATCAAAACCTATTCAGAAGGAAACGAGAGAGAAACTATTTGATTACATCCACTTTGGACTGACCGCTTCTAAATTTTCTAAAATGACGCCTTTGGCACCAACAAAAATTAATTTTGAGGGAGCGCACGCCAAAAAATTGTAACTTTTTGGTCAACGTTTTCCAAAAAGTACTTAAAGGTACTCCTTCGAAATTAACTACTGCTACTTTGCAAAATTGAGCGACTTTATCAAAATTTAAATACAATTTTTCGGGGAAAACAAGAATTTTAAAAACCTAATTTACTACGGATGATTCTGACTGAAAAAATCATGTATGTAAAGGGTTAGTTTTCCAGCCATTGCAGCAAAACCGTGAACACTCGCAGAAGAAATGATGATAGAAAAATTAACCCGCCTTCATGTTTTGTTATTTTTTGCCATGGTCTTTATGGCGGTGTGACCAATCGCTTAAAATGAAAACTTTGAAAACCGACTTGTGATCGATTCCTTGGTTCGTATTAAAAAGAGCTGGCAAGCAGCAACATATTTGATCTAATTGATCAAGAAGCAATAAAAAACGGTTAAACAGATTTATTTGTCTGTCACCTTTTTGGTATCTTCATCTAACGCGCAAGGAAGTCAATCAATGTCTATCATTTTTTCAGAAAAAAAAATCATTTTTCTACTGATGAGACATCTAGGCATATTTTGGTAGAGTTTCAGACTAATGTTACAGTTTTCTAATCCCTGAAGTATTTCTTTAATTTTCTGTTCAGATGTTTGGAAAATATAATGCGCCATGTTTTTGTTTGAGCTATGCAAGTCAAATAAGTTTATGGTGATAATTGTACTAAAAAAACTGTACAAAATTCCAGTGATAGTTGTTAGTCGAACATTTTGCTTGTTGTCTGAAGAAACCACATCGAATTAAATCTTTAAGAATGAAAAAAAGATCAATTTAGTTTGGAAAATTTTTCTACAACAATTCTTACCAGATGAATAGCTCTGGGAATGGGAACCAAAAAATTTAATATTTTGTCTTGTTCAAATTGTTTACTTCAGAAAAGAAACTAAACTTTTGATCAAAATCTGAGAAACTTCTAGGGTCACGGATCTCAGCTTTTTCGAATGTTCCGTCCATATTTGCGAACCCGTACCTGGTAAATGTTATAACGAAGATCTGAAATAATCTTTTTCAGATCTAAATTTCAGATCTGAAATGGGTTGTTAAATGTTAAAATAACGCTTCGATACATTAGAAATGGGATATTACAGATCTAATTTCATATCTGAAAATTTGTTTTTCTTAGTTGTTTGAGATTTGAAAAACTCAATTTCAGATCTGAATTTTAGTTTTTTTTGGTTATTTCAGACTGAAAAATCAATGATTGTTTTGCTATTTTTGATACTTTTGTATTTGATAGCTTGTACTAGCTCCTGTTAGTTAGTAAGCAAAGTTCCAGCAAGAGACTGCCAAAAATTTTACCCCAAGCTTGAGATAAACATTGTAAACTCATAAGTAGCTCAAGAAAGTAAAAAAAATGATAAGCCTTCTAACAGTTTTTGAAAACTTTTCATCATAGTTGAACAAGAAATTTAGTTCGGAAAAAATGTTTGTGAAAAAAATTATTCGGAATTGTTTTCTACCGCTGGTTAATCTAAACAAAATTGTGTGTATTGCAGAAACATCAAAAATTAAAAAAATTCAAATATTTGCCCAAAATGCATAAATAACAAAATGTTTCTCGATTCTAAATTCAGATCTAAAATTTTGTTCTTCAAGTTTATTACAGATCTGAAATGTTCTATATCAGATCCATGTTTCAGATCTGAAATTTTCAAATTCTTATCCAGATATGAAAGAAAGATTTTCAGATCTGAGAATCAACCAATGACAGAAATAAAGCATTTCAGATCTTGCAGAGAAAAAACCCCCTGGATACGTGAATGGCTCAACTAAATCGAATAAGTTAGTTTCGAGTTTCTCGGCCGAAAGAAAAATGTGTCCCACTTTGCTTGGCCAAAGACCCTGCTCGAAACAGTATGACGATTCACGCCAGGTGACAATTCGTAACATGCGCAAATTCGTAGCACGCGATAATTCTAAACAAGACATTGGCAAGAAAATTACTCTTGCTCCGCTTTGCTCCGCTGCTCTTACTTTCGGCACGAGAGGAATATTGAGTGTGACTAATCAGTGTTGCCCGTTCAATCTGCTGTTTCAAATTATCGCTTGTTACGAATTGTCTCCTGTTTCGAATTGTTGCCTGTTACGAATTGTCGCCTGTTACAGTTTGTCGCATCGGGGCTCGAAATACGTTCCGGCCGTGCTAAAACAGTTTTTGATCCTGCGGAACCAGTAATTAATCTCCAGGTTTTTTGCGTAGTGTGCTGGTTTATATGAGATTGATGCACAGATTTGAAGTTTTTGCTTATTTAGAATGTGCTTACGCCCTTAATTCAAGTGTGTACCAAGGCTCGACCTCTGTTTTAACGCAAGAGAATGTGACTTCATCTGACCTTGATTTGTCAATGCAACGAGTGAATTGTGTTAACGCAAGCACGGGAGAAAACTGCACTGATAAGGGTAATGTCAATGTAACCAAGAACAATGGACAGTCGGATGCTATCGGTTCGAGTGACATGCAGCAACTGGAACAGCTCCCCATAACCACTGGAAATAATATGACTCAGGACTTGGTCGCAAATGACACTCCGATTTGTATAAGTGAGTAGAACAATCGTATTCTCAAATTATACATAATATACTTATCGCAAATTTTCAGCTATGTTCCTATGTTGTTTATGAAAGTCTTTGAATTTGATATTTGCATCAATGCGCGTGTGCCAATCATACCAAGTCTCATAGTTTGTTTTAAGTAGAGTTGTTCAAACAAATTAATTCAGAAAAAAGACAATTTTTTTATCAAGATTCTGATACTACAAGATGGTATTCTCAGATAGATTTACAAGCTCTGTTTGAATGAAAACTATAAATTAATTCCCGTATCCAGCGGATTTTCTGTGCAAGATCTTAAATTTTTTTTCTTACATAAATTGATTCTCAGATCTGAAATTCTTTATATCAGATCTTGATAAGAATTTACAAATTTCAGATCTGAAGTTTGGATCTGATTAGGAAAATTTCAGATCTGAAATAACCTTGAAAAACAAAATTTCCTATCCATTACGAGGACAAATTGAGCACTGGATAGGCGCACAATTTTGTGTTTGTATGTTCCTGGATTCCATAGACAAATTTTTAAACATGTTAAATTTTTGTCGGAACGATCAAAGAAAATGAAAGAACAAAAGAAGAACAAAGGGAGCGTCCTTGATGTGGATTCCGCTTGCAATGCACAAAATGCACAGTTTGGTCTCGTGATGTATGGAATCATTTCTGAGAAATCCTTTGTGAAATGATAATTTATGCCTTTCGAGCAAAACATGGAGTTTTTTGATGTTTCTGCAATACACAATTTTCTTTAGGTTAACTAGCGGTAAGAAAAGCTTCCGAATATTTTCACAAAAATTTTTTTTCAATCTAAATTTTTTGTTCAACCATTACGAGGCCAAACTGTGCATTTTGTGCATTGTAAGCTGAATCCACAACAAGGACGCTCCTTTTGTTCTTCTTTTGTTCTTTACTTTCTTTCGATCGTTCCGACAAATTTTTATCATGTTTAAAGACTGGTCTCTGGAATCCAGGAACGTACAGACTCAAAAAAGTGAGCCTATCCAGTGCACAGTTTGGTCTCGTAATGACTGTTTTAAAAAGTTTTCAAAAACTGTTAGAAAATCTATTACATTTTTAATTTGCGTGAGCAATTTAAGTGTTTTCAATGTTTACCTCATGCTTGGGGAAACATATTTCGACAGCCTCCAAGTGAGACTTTGCTGAGTATCTGCAAGTAGCTAGCAGAAGCTAAAACAAATCAAAAAGAGCAAAAAATGAGACCGAATCATTGATTTTTAAGATCTGAAATAACCAAGAAAAACTAAATTTCAGATCCGAAATTAGATTTGAAAAGATTATTTCAGATCTGTTTTAGAAAATTTACTGGGTCCGGGTTAGCCTTAAAAGAGCCATGGAAAGTCTCTCAGCCCTAGGTGACCAACGATGCGGCAACATTGTTCAAAACGGGTATAATTAAAGACCCTACAGGTCTACAAACGCGTGATTTCTGTTGGTTTCAGATTCTTCCGAAATACGATTTTCAAAGATCTATCAGGATTCGAGCTCTGTTTTGCTGGAAATAAATGCGGTGTGTTCTAAACTTGACTTGTCAAAGCAAAGTGTGAAGTGCTTTAAAGTGAACACCGGAGAAAACTGCATCGACAAGACTGAAATTTATGCCAATAGTGGACAGTCGGCTATTATCCTTTTGAGAGATCTAAGACCGGGACAGGTTTACAATGTGACTATCGCCGCAGGAAGCTTCAGGAATCAAGATTTAGTCCCAAAATACACTTTGATTTCTATGGGTTAGTCGGTTAATCTGAATTTAACTTTCAAGTTCAACAAATTTATTTAATTCAGCAACCTTAGGGTTACTTAATCAGAATCTTTTAAGGGATTATATGGTGAAAATTAGCTTCTGATTTTGGTGGTATCTGTATCAATACTATCACATCATTGATACCCAACTCATGTGATGTTTTTTTCTTAAAATCTGTACCTCGATTCCTACAAAATTTATTAGATCCTTCAAGTTACAGATCAAAGCCACAAGTTAAAAAAGGTAGCAGATTTCTGTAAAAGTAGCACAAAATCGTCCGACCGTAGTCTTAAGATAATACAAAAGTTTGTTTTCAAAATAGTGTAGTTTTTATATGTTGGTGTGAAAAAAAAAACTGAAAAAATAGGCTTATTTGTCACTCATTGAAAAACACGCCAATTAACAAGCAGTTTTGTATAGAAAAATGACTAAAAAAATTGTTAAAACTTTTCAAAAAATTTTCATAAAACTTTTCATTCAAGATAAGCTAAGTTTTCACGGCTTGAATCAAGCATAAACAAGCTATTTTAAGCCTGCATGTTCACCTTGTTTGCTCTAATTTTGAGCAAAATTAAAATTTTCAAACTGGGTTTCTTGACACTTCAAATCACGACTTACAAGGCATTACAAAGTTACTCCAAAATTTTCAATTGGTCGAAGCAATAAGTGTTGAAATGCCCCTGTCGTTGGTTCCTAGTAATTCTAAGGGTCCAATGGTGTATCACAAAATTTTTTTATAGCATGCTGCTTTATATGAGCTTCGTCTACAAACGCTTGATTTCTGTTGGTTTCAGATTCTGCAGAACTGCGAATTTCAACCATCTACAAGGATTCGAGCTCTGTTTTACTGCAAGCAAATGTGAACTCATCTGACCCTACTGTGTCATTTCAAGGAGTCAGGTGCTTCAATGTGAACACTAGAGAAAACTGCATTGACAATGTTGAAGTTTATTCCAATAGTGGACAGTCAGCTATTATCAGTTTGAGTAATCTACGACAAGGACATGTTTACAATGTGACTATCGCCGCGGGAAGCCTCAGAAATCAGGATTTACTCGCAAATTACACTCTGATTTTTTTGGGTTAGCCTTTCAAAATTAATTTTCACATTCTTTTTTTTTTATTTCAGCAATCTTAGATTTAGATTTACTTGTTCAGATTTTTTGAGGGATTTTATGTAAAAATTAGCATATCTGTATCAATGCAACCACATCCATGATACCCGTCATCATGTGATTTCTAGAATTGTACCTCGTTTTATAGACAATTGTAGATGCTTTAAATTCTACATCAAGTCCATAAGTTGAAAAAGGATTGCCGGTTACTGTGCAAATAGCACAGAATAGATCAATCAAAGTCTTAGCAAAAAAATAGCCTTTTTTCTACTATGTCTCGTTTTATCTGCGTGATAAGAAAAAAGACCTGAGCAACAAATAGAACATAAGCTTATTTGACAGTCATACAAAAATACGCCAATTATAAAAAAAATTGGATTAAAAAAAATATAAAAAAAAATAGATTGAAAAACAAAAAAAATCGTCAAAAGTTGTTTTCAATTTTTTTCTCAAACTTTTTGCAGATTTTTTTAAAAATTTTTGAAGCTTTTGATACACAAATTGGTGCTAAAAATTGATTTACTCGAATAAAAGGTCTTAAACTAAGCATAAATAAACAATTAAAGCCTGCACGCTCACCTTATCAGCTTGAAGTAAGCTCAAAATCAAAATTTCAAACTGGTTTTCTTGACACTGAGAGATTTTATTGATGTGTTTATTTGTCGTTCATACCACGCCTGAGAAAGTTTCAATATGATATATCACTCGACGACCCAAATTAATGATTTTTTGGGGTACCTCATTTGGCGTGGAAAACAAAAAGAAAAAAGAAAAGAAAACAAAAATAAATACACTCGAATACAAAGTAACTCCACAGCTTTTAAATAGTCGGAGCATAAAGTGTTCCTACTAATTCTAAGGGGTCCAGCGGTGGATCATAATTTTTTTATAACATGCTGGTTTATTTGAGCTTCATCTACAGACGTGCTTGTGATTTCCGTTGGTTTCAGATTCTTCAGAGCTGCGAATTTCAACCATCTACCAGGATTCGAATTTTGTTTTACTTCAAGCAAACGTGACTTCATCTGACCCTGACCTGTCAGTTCTTAAAGTGAGCTGTGTTAATGTGAAAATTCGTGAAAACTGCAGTGATAATGTCGAAGTATATTCCACCGATAACAATGGAAAGTCTGTTACTATCAGTTTGAGTCATTTGCAACCGGAAGAACTTTACAGCGTAACTTTTGCCGCTGGAAACAAAAAAGTTGAGGATTTGGTCTCAAATAATACTCTGGTTTGTACGGGTGAGTTCAAATATCCTAATTTATTTTTTGTATTGAACATAAAAATGAACAAGTTTCGAAATTTAAGTTCGTGTTTCTCAATTTGGGTTGATTTCAGACAAGAAACGATGGAGACAAAACTTGCTGAGTATTTCAGCAGAATTAAAATGTTGAAATTCATTTTGCTAAATTGTGGTGCAAAATTTTACCACAAAAAAGGAATATAGTAATTCTGCTGAAAGTTTTGACTCCATCAGTTATTGTCTAAATTCAACCCAATTTGAGAGAAAAATCAAATTCTAATTTAGCTCAGGCTGTATACTAGTGGAACCTGATCTAAACTATATTTTATGATTGGATAAATTAAATGTTTTACCAATGTAAAGTATTTAATATTAACCAATCATGATCCATCTAACTAACAACCCACTTATTTGTAAGTGCTGAAGTTACTTGTAATTTCAGCACCAGAGAGATTTGAATTTAACTTAGAAATTAGTTGGACTCTCCCGAGCACTTCAGCAACCGCAATAAACCAGTATACCCTAGATCTATTGAGCCTAGCAGAGACTAGTTAAACAACCTGAGACTAGATAGTATAAGAGTAAGATTAGGATCGGTATTAGACTAAGAAGTTGCACGAATCTATCCGGCCGAAAATAAGATAGCGTGACGAGCAGACGGTGTACCCTATCCGAAATTACTCTATGAGTTAACCAACTCGGTCCTAACTCATCTGGTGCGACCATAAGTCTCGAACAAGACCTTAATAGCTTAGAATTAACCAAAATAGATTAGAAATTAGACAAAAACATTTACAAAATGTTATACGACAATAATTTAATCGAAATGTCTCTACGACTCAATAGATCAGAGCCAATATTCCGAACCATAACAGAACTACCCGGAATTGGAAGAAGACCTCGAACCAGAGACGACATACGACAAAGTAGAAACTTACCATATAGTTATATGATAGTTCGGCAAAAGCCAACACAAACTTTTGTATTTAGAATACTACTAGCAATGAATTTAGATTTTCATTTGCAAACATAAAATTTTGAAGTCAATCTTCAAAATCATTTCAGGCGCTAAACAAAATTATTAATATACAATAACGATTGATAAAAAGATCTAAGATCGTTTTCCTAAAACTCTGCAGTAATATATAAAATATGTTTGAAAAATATTTATTGAAAAATAAAAAATAAAAATTAGTAGCATGACAATAAATGGTTAGTAATCATAAATCATCCTGTTGTTCCAGCTCCATCATCTAAAACATAACAGCAATCATAAACCCACTAATATCATCAAAACACTAAATCTTTCCTTTACACACATTAAAATTTTATTAAAACTTAAATTCACTTAATTTTAAAACCAGATCATCAAGGCTTATCCTTGGATCTTAAATCATTTTCTACTTAATTAAATTTCAAATTTGATCATCAAGGCTTATCCTTGGATCAAACAGAACAACTTTGTTCTCCCCCACCCACTTAATTAGTGTCTAACGACCTCAAACGTCGATTCACTACCCAACCCTTTCTAAAGACCTAAGACTAATAGAAATTTTTAAACAAAACTAATCATTCAAATTAGGATAAACAGTGAAGAACTTCGGTTATTCATCCTTCACTTGATCCCCCCTCTTACCAGACCCAGGATAAATCTTAGACTTAGTAAGTTTAAAATAGTATCTAACGAACTACTCGCGTTCTAATTATACCTGAACCTTGTGGATCGATTTACTATTCTCCAACCCTTGAACACAATCACTACCCCTAAGTAAGATTAAGTAAGTTAACACCTTAACTTATACTAGCCACGAGAAAGTAAAAAATCATTCTTCGGAATCGATATACTTTTCTCTCCAACCCTGAACGAACAGACCCAGGTTAAGCTAACCAAAAAATCGTAAGAACTAACAGTTTAGGAAAATAGAAATCATTTAACAACCCTTTGCATCCGTCATTCTAAACCTTATGTCATTTAAAAACCTAGGAAATAAACAAACAATCGTTTTACACAATTGTGAAATAGACAACAAAAAATACGACCTTGTAATCACACCTCATACACAAACAGTTGGATACATTCGAACAAAACGACAAACATTAAAGAGAAAAATAATAACTAAACAAAGACAAATAACACGAAAAAGATTTTCAAAAAATCGAAACGCATTTTCAGAATCAGAAACCAACAGTTTAGACGAACTTTACAAACTAAAAGAATCAATAGATAAAAATTGCCCAATTCACGATCAATTATATTTCTCTGACTCAGAAACAACTTCAAATTCATCAAAAAGAGGAAAAAGAAGAATAAAAAAGCAGTATAAACACAAACCAGTACATTTATACAATTGGAATCAACCAATTCGACACATTAATAATTACATATTAACAGTCATCGAACGAAAAAATGAGCTCAACGCACACTCCAGGTGAAGAAACTCCAGATGATGATGAAATCTTTCCTTTTATAGTAGACGCAGATACTGATAGAGGACAACACATATTTTGTCAAAATTTACTCGTAAATTTATTTGAACCCGGAATTAGTCCATGTAAAACAGAGTTCCCAGATGTAAAAATCAAAAGACAAATCATAGACCACTACTTAAAAGATATATGCAACATAACACAACAGTATGGAATCTACTCCATAGAATTCACCTCACCAAACCATAATAATAGAAAATATACAATTCAAACAGACGATCTTGATTTAGAATTTTCAAAAGTTTTTTCAGAATATATAAAAAGCATCCAATATCAAAACTCACAAAGAGCAAACTCCATATTCACCAATGAAGTTTTCGCAATAATATATAGTTATATTTCGATATTAGAAAACGAAATCCCAATAACAAATGTCTCACCGACAGAAACATCTAAACATTTAAGAGTACGACATGAAATCACACTACTCTCTAGTTATTTAAACATCATTAAAGAAAATTTCACGAAAGACGACGTTTCACAACATACAAAACACGATCTACAAAAAATTTTGGCATGGTTCATAATAGATTATTTCACACACAATATTGATTTAATTGCACAAGCAAGAAAAAATTTTAGACCCCAAAACTCGAACGATGATACCGCTATCACAGAACAATCAGATTATGTTTGGGACCCCGAATGGTCTCATCCAGCATTTATAAGCTTCCCACAATCAATCTCAAGTCAAGCAATAAGTACGATATCTTACATAAGAGATTATGTAAAAGTAATACCATTAACCATTGATGCAACACCATTAAACTATAATACATTTTTACCCGATACACAAAATAATAGTTTAAACTCTACAGTTATACACAATGAAAACCTCAATGGAACTAGGAATCTTACTCAACAAGATATCCAGACACCATCACACTTCATAAATGAAGAAATTGTACACACAACAACTACACAACAAAGTATTTCACCAATACGCCCAAATTTAACAACACCAAGAAATACAAATCCTTCACAAACACAGGTAACCTTACAATCAACCGTTAAACCTTCGGTTGCCCCTAAATATTCACATATGGATTACCAAACATACAGACCCATGACAATACCATCAAAAACACGCAAAACATTCACTAGAAACAACTTTGCAGACCATAATTATAATTATACACATCCATCAAAAACATATAACCAACCACAAAGAAATTTTAACCAATATACAAGATCTCGAAATTGGGATAACCCAATGACCCAACCTAATTCAATAAATTTCCAAACAAATCCTCCACAGGATCACAGTGAAAATTACCCATTTTTTCAACAAAATAAAAATAAAAAACAGACATCTTATCAAATGGATTATTTATCCTCAGATGATGATTTCTTACAACCAGATATATTTGCACCAAATACTCAAGAATATCGTAGACAAGGAATACAGAGAACACGTACAAATCATAGAAATTTTTCTCCACAACCAATAGATGCACAACATCAACAACCAATTCAACAACAAAATCTAATTAATACACAATCTTTTCAACCAATTCAACAACAAAATCCAATGACTGCACACTCGTATCAAGCATCACAAATGCAAAATGAAATACCACTCCCATATTATCTTCAACAACATGAAATAACAAGAAACCAACTTTCGAATTTTTCTCAAATGCCAAATGCAGCAGAATCATTACAAATGACAATGAATCCATACCTTATGGGTGGATCATCAATAACATCAAACAAACCTTTAATGGTTTTCACAGGAACAGACCCTGAATACTCTGTAGAAGATTATTTAAATGCAGTAACAGCAAACCTGATTTTAAATATTGGACCTGAACCAATTAATACGCCACTACATCAAAACTGGATACATCGACGCACAGCGTTAATACAAACAACCTTAGATGGCGCAGCCCAAAAATGGTTTTCAGTACTACCTCTAGAAATAAAATCAAACTGGAAAAGGTTTACACAAGAATTTTCAAAAATGTTTGACTCCGAAAGAAACAAACAACAACAAAGAGTTTTATGTAATGAAATTCGCAGATTACCAAACGAAACCATCAAGCAAATAGCAGTACGAATCGAAACACTAGTTCGAAAAGCATATTCATTAAATACACATGACTATAAAAACACAAAGATGACAGAAATCTTAATGATGACCTTAACACCACAATTAAGGAAAATAGCAATAAAAAAGAGAGCATCCCATCCTTCTTCAATTCGAGAACCCGATTTAGATTTTCGAAAACTAGTAGACAAATTAGAACAAGCAGAAATCACGATGAAACTAGAAGAAACGGAAAATCTGAAATTACAATACGTTAACAGAATTGAAACGACTCCCACTAATATTAATAATATACAGGAATCAGAGACAGACCTCGTTGAAAAAATCACTGAAATACTTAATATTTATGAAAAGAACCCAAACTTCAAAGGCAAACCATCTTTCAAAAAATGGTGTAATTATTGCCGACGATACGGACATAGTATTTCCGAATGTAGACAAAAACAGCAAGACAATCAAAA